AGTAAAGATCATTAAGTCAGTCAGACTATAATTTTTGTCCCATATTTTGTTCCCAATTCATCAAGTTTAAATGTATTTATAAGGGGGTTATTCAGAGGAGCTCCAGTTTTATAAATACAGGTTTTTATACTGTATTTATTTCGTATTTATTTCGATTCCTCAATAACTTCCAGGCAACATACTTACCGTATGTTGTTTTTTTAGTGGAGATGGAAAGAATAAAATACATAAAAATTAAATGCTCAGGTTAAGAGATTTAGTAAAATAGTTTTTGTTTTATAATCAGTTATTGTACATTCTTTTGGACAATTATCAATACTTTTGACTGAGAAGGGTACTGATGGTAAGACATACACAAGTCTAAAAAGGTTGGGAAACACTGGCCTATGGCGAAAACGGGCCACTATGACAACAAATCCCAATGATGCTTTACGAGGAGAGCTCTGGGGGAGCTGCAGAGAACCAAAGCTCAGGCAGGAGAATCTGCTAAAAGTTTAATGAATGATGGCCTTTATAGATATATCTAACATATACAAGAAAAGGGTTTGCTCAGATAAGAACATTAGTGAACCTTTTAGCTCAGAAAGAAAACTATTAGACAGCCATCATTCATCATTGACAGTAGGGTATGCTTTATTTTCAGCAGAGGAAATTGGGCAGAGATGATTGGTAGCTGGATGAAGTAAAATACAGGCAGGAATCTATGAATAGATGCAATTTGGATGGAAGTTCATCTTCCAGGATCTTAAATGTCCAACCAGAACCACAATGATATTAAGTTCTAACCACTCTCATTTGTTAGTATAACCCAATCAAAGCCCTGACTTAGATCTAATTGAGTTCAAAGATAGTCTATCCAGTCAGATAGTGCTTTGCATACCCTGTAATGCTTGCAGCTGTAATAGTTCTGAATGTTATTTTGCTTAGTATTACCATTGCCTAATGTAGAAAACACTCATGTGTAATTAGTGAGCAATAATTATCCACCCAGAAGCTCATAAGCAATAATGTGATGCAAGAAGACAGAAGAAAATTATTTGAACTATGGCGATAAATGATACTCTCATACTTCTGTAAGGAGTGCATCCATATGGTTTTGATTAATTCTTCTATTTTCTCTTCAGTTTAATTCAGTTTTTAATTTGCATTGTGCTAGTTTACAACAAATGTCTCCTAAAGGCAGTTTGTAGCATTCATTCCAGTCTAAATATACACAAGTTAAATCCTTTCGCTTTTTCCAGTTCAGTTCATTCAAGCGGAAATCTATCCAATGTAGACAACACTTTAAACATACACATAAATCATATAGATAAAAATGACAGTAAATGAAATGTCAATGTATGTAAATCACTCATCTTGAACAAGCACATGGGCAGTGGAGAGAGTTGATTCCAGCTCAATCTGAAAAACATACACAGAAAAAGACAAAGGAACTTTATTAGTACAACTACTTTATTCTTTGGCACTCAGCGCTGGGCAGGAAACATTAACGCTGAATTTTGCATAATTTTAAGAACAGGGATGTTTCCCCCCAGGCCTGAAACTGGTGGTGAAGTGGAGATAGATGAAGTATGTTCAGTCCATAGACTGCTGGTTGGAGAGACGATGTGCTTGAGCTCTATTGGTCTATATGTTTTCTAGTTTTATTGGTTTGATTCCTATTTTGTTGTGTTTTCTGGATATATTTGAGTTGTTATGCTTTTCTTTGTTGCCCCCTGTTGCCCTCTTGTGTTGGTCTCCTTTTCCCTTGCTCCTTTCTAGAAGCCTCTGTTCACACCTGCTCCCAATCAGCTCGTTAGTCCTGTCTTTGTTCAGTCAGCCATAAATACTCTCCCTGTGCAGTTCCTCAGTGTTGGTTACTTGTCCATGTTTTCACTGATGACTCCATGGTTCTGGTTTGTTTGGATTTTTGTGTTTGGTTTTTTTGGATTCCTGCCTCTATTACCTGTTGAGAACTCCATTAAAACTAAAAGAACTCCCCTCTGCCTAACCGCCTCTGCATTTGGGTGCTAAAAAACCTCAACCAAACCCTAACAGTGTGAGCTGATACTAGTGCTTCCCTCAGCGACCTGGAAAGATGGAAGTCCTGCTCGGATAAACGCAGGTTGCGTGAACCTGTCCATGTTGAGCAAGCATGAAGCGAAAGTGGAGAGGAAAAACTCCCCTTTGAGAAGAAACAGGCTCAACATGGCTGTCTTCTAGCAGGGGAACGCAGTAAGAGTAAGAGTCCAGGAGGAATGACACTCTGATAGGGACGAGGTTGAAGAAGCACCATGGAAAAGCTTTAGCTTCAATGGTGGAGAAGGGGATGGAGGTGGGTTTAATCAGGCTCATCTGAATCAAGTCAGAAATAGCGCAACCACTCCCTGCACTTTGGCTGAGTAGCAGACTGAGTTGGGGATTTAAAGACCTTTTAAGATGAAATGTGGATGCTGATTGGGCTTGGAGGTGTGTTTCAAAGCTGATTGGCCTGTCAGAGGCGGATGATGGTGAGTAATTCAGTTACTTCAGTTGAACTTCCGCCTAGGCTTCTTTTAACAGGGAGAAATGTTTTAGCAAAACCAGCCAGATGACTGGAGGCTTTAGTGGGTAGGAAATAAACAATGATAAGATTAGTAACAAATTGGTGTTAAGCGGAAGATACAAAGAAAATATTTCCTGACATTGTAATCATTGTCGGAAACGTTTTACATGAGTCAGAAACCTGTTGAGTGACATGTTTTGTACATTCACTAACAGTATCTCCTGCATGCCTGTTTTTTTTTTTTTTTCCACCAATCTTCAAATCAGTTTTAAAGATTTCTTTAATTTGAGGATATCAGTTATTCTTAGAGTTGAGTTGAGAGGGTCTACCTGGTCTGGGTGCCATGCTGATGAAGACAAAAATCTGGTTTGTGCTAAAAAGTAGGATAGAGCATCAGTGCTTTAATAGTTGCATCATTGTTTAACTTTAGCAGCTGAAACTCACTCTGCAGCAGCGTCCCCAGAGAGATGGAAAATCTGAGTGACACCAAATGCCACTGCTAGTTCTTAGGACAGCTTTTCTCCCTGCTTAGTAGGACAAAGAGCTTCAGTGTTAGACAGTTTTGTTTTTTATCAGGGTAAAACTTATAAGCAATTATTGCACTCAACAGCATCTTTATTAGGTACACCTGCTCATTCTTTATAAATATAGAGAGGAAACCAGGAAGTGACCATTAGTCAGTGCATTTAAGCATCTCCTCCCACCCATGGACATGGACAATACACGCACCTTAGTTTAGTTTTGTCTTCAATTTAATGTTTCACTTTCAGTGCCATATTCAATAACTCAGTGCAATATATATTTAATGATGTTACTTCTTCAATAACCCAGTGCAATATATATGTATATATATGCTCTTACCCTGTATATAGATAGCTCTTACTTATAGAAAACATATTTATTGTGCATGAATAAGGTCTTAGCTCTGTTACACTGGTAGCCAAGTAATCGACATTTCGTTGTCAAGACTCGCCTTGTGTTTTTTGTGCAATGACAATAAAGGAAGTCTAAGTCTCTAGATGTAAGGAAGTCTTTATGCTGAATTTCAAGCATCAGAAGGGAGAAGAAACAAGCTGTTATCTGGTTTTAATTTCCTCAAATCCAGCATTTTATTTTGGTGGTTTAAAGAATAATACCCATATGAGGACCAAGATAAAACCTATTCTGTCACTGAATTTGCCTTAAATTGGCTAAACATAAGTGTAGTTACATTTATTATTTGATGGAAATATTTGAAAGACCTAAAAGTGCTGAGTAGTTAAGCCTAAAATAGGTTTTGTTTCCTTTTAACAACATTATTTCCTTGTTTTTCTCCAAATATTTTAACCATGACATAGTTGACACTGGAACTATTTTTAGAGAGGTCCTTTTCCCTAATAGTCAAACATTAATTCACTGACCTCCTTGGTTTGGTTTGCAGGAATAAAGGGTATTTACTTTGGAACCTTTGCTACTGTTAAATGAGGATCTTGCACAAATGTATTACAGCAGAAGTTCTGTTACCTGCAGGTTTTCTCTGAGTTCTGTCCAGCACAAAGACATTTCCTCTTAAACCATGTAAAGTATAAGGTTTTCTTAGCAAGCTTTCTTTGCTGGATTGCTTCAGTTCAGCTCACCAGAACCTTATAAGACACAGGTGTCCTAATGGGTCCAGGGTGTCAGGGGAAGCAGGCTTCTGTTGCTGCAGCTTAGCCCTCAGCAGGAGCTGGAGCCCAGGCTGGATCGGTGCCAGTCTTTCACATGGTGTTCTGTTGTTTTAGACCTGTCATGATAGCCCCTGGTGCCTGATTAAAAACATGTTGAACTTGCTGGTTCTATTCTGGGTGGAGGAGGGCAAAGCCCAGCAAAAACATTCAACCTGTATGAAGCAGAAGAGGCAGCCAGATTGAATATAATGAGTCCATTCTTAACAGGTTCCCTGGAGGAACTTTACATCCTAAACTTTGATGGTGCTGTTTGTATAGGTAAAATTATGTAGACTTTCTGCAGTAAGCGAATGATCTAAAGCCCGGGTTTGTTAAAGAATAGTTCCAGTGTTGCAATGTTTGAGGAAACATTGAGAGCCTGTGTATTGTTTTCCTTTATTTTCCTACTGATTTTATTGGACAATCCCGCCTCTAAAAGTTCCGGTTTGCCCTGACTCCACACTGCGCCCCTCTGATTCCAGAACTTCCCTCATCCTCTCTAACCTGAACCAGATGCAAACTTTTCTACATAAATCTTTACTTACAAGGAATTTATTTAAAAACAAGACCCATTTCCTATTTATATGACACCCACTGCAATATGAACAGTACAGTATATGGTCCATATGTCCCAATGCTGCCTACTGCTGTATGCCTGATTCTTGTTCTCTAAGCTACAATAACCTTCCTACTGTAAATGTTGCACCCTTTTGATAAAAACACCTCTCCTAAACTGTGAATTTATCAAAAACGTAGCCAGATAAAAACAAAACAAAAAACAGAACAAGAACTGGAACCAACAAATCTTTATTAAATATAATGCTAATTATCCAGGTGTTCAATGAATTTGTCTAGTTGTCCATTCGTTCATCCATCCCTGTTAGATCCAAGGTATCCTATCTCCTAGGGAAACCAGGTGGCGGGGGCCTAAAGTGTAAACCAACACATCTAACTGATTTTATTCCGACTCATGTCACATCTACTCTCCTTATTCAGATGATAACCAATATTTTAGGGCCAGCTAAGCAATCTATAGGCTGCTTATTTCAATTGATTGCTTTGTGGATCTCGTTCTCTCCATCAGGAACTCATGAGAATACATGAGAATCATAAAGGTTTTCCTGTATACTTTGCAATCAAACAAGTGAATAGCATGTTGAACATGACTTTTGTAGAAAGTGTGTCTGCAGGATCGTGTCCCAAGTGAAGAACTCTACTTTATTCTCTAGTAGCATTTACAGTGAAAGTTATGTAACATCAGCTGGAAACTAGGAATTTTCTCCACCTCTGCAAAGTTATTGAGTGTCTATCATCAATTTCTTCTGCCTCACCTCCTTCAGAACCTGTAGAGAGGCCAGGGCCGGCATTGGTCCCAATAGACATGTACTCCCATAGCGAAGTGCTGTAACAATCGCAGTTCGGTTCTTGAGTTCAGCCTTTTCCATCCTAAAGAAAAAAATATTTTTCAATTAGAGCTGCTTTAAAGGCACACTATGCAACATTTTTCAGTTAATTAATGTGTTCCATAACGTTATGGATGACTAAATGAGTCATTTCAGGTTGAACAAAGGTATTCTCGGCCGCCCTGGTGGTCTGTGGGGGAAATACTGCACTTGCAACTGCAGGAGCACCGACCCGCACCCACAGGCTCAGAAGTCTCGTGAGAGTCAGTCTTGCTTTACGGCGAGAACTGCTACACGCCCCCAGTTAAAAGCATTCTCGTTGCTAGCACAGTGGCAATCTTTGTGCAGTTATGCTACGTTCACGCAGCGGAAGCAGCAAAATCGCGTCTGCTGCTTCATTTTTGCTGCTTGTACCAGTTAGTTCTGATGCACGGCTGAAGCAGCTTTGCTGCTCTGGCTGCGCGGTGCAAAAGTGTGTCTGACGCGCGTTGGGAGGAGCTTCACTATCCTTTCTCTGCCTTGCAGCTATATTTGCTGTGATCAGTGGGAATAAAGTAGTTTTAATATGTGTTTAAGTGAGAAAATACACCTGAAAACCTAATCAGTGCAGTCAGTTCATTCAGATTATTATCCTGCCTTCAATATTTTTTCTGTCGGAGCCGCTCAGACCCCCACATACCAGCGGGGCGCCGACAGTATGGATCCCTTCATCAGCAGCGGTTCACCGCGGCAGCTGGTAGGTGTTTTTCATCTAAATAATCCAAACTGCATATTCTGCCGGCAGATTTCTGCATTTTAAGTTAATTTAGGCGTCAATAAACTGTTTAAGAGGAGTGATCATCAGCGCTGTGTCTCTCTCCCTGCGTTAAACGCACCCGACGCGCTGCTTCAGCTGCTCAGACGCGCTGCGCCTGGTGCTCAAAACGCGCCGCGGGACCTTTTGCTGCGCCTTGACGCGCGTCAACCATTGACTTTGCATGTAAACTCGCTGCTTCTGTCGCGCCAGCTACGTCCAGTGTAAACGCAGCGTTAGTCATTCACTGCTAAGCTCAAAACAACCGCGCCTGGCTTGACGGAGAAACCAGGAGAACAGCTGTGCATATTTACGACAGTGCACTTTTACTTTCGCCCTCTGGAGGGAGCCTCACTGGAAAATCAACACCGGTTGCATAGTGTACCTTTAAGCAGCCCTGTATTTGCTTCAAGCACGCCTGCACCCAGCTAAACAAAGACCAACCCGAGTGGTTGCCACTCCCCGACAGACAGGTGTTAAACAACATTCTGCGACCCATCATATGTTGTGATTCAAGTGTGTGCTTTTACGGATTGTCCTTGTACTATAATGACTGACAAAATAACATGGTCACAGAATGTTTGGCTTAGGTTTACACTGAAGAAAGGAAGAGCTTAAACAAGAAGTTTACATTATTTTAAACTTCGGAAACTGTTTTTAAAGCACTGAGTGGTTTTTTTACATCTGAAATTTGCAAATTTTCTATGAAACAAAAATAATTTTCGGAATCAAATTTTTTTTAACCTATTTTTCTCCAATTACGTTCTGCCAACCTGTACAGACTTCGCTCATGACGCATCACAGGTGTTTCACCCAGGTTATCTAGGTGACTTCTGTGGCTAGAATTTAGTTTGGAGGGATTTTAATGCATGCAACATTTTTTTTGTTTTTTCTGTACATGGAACTTAAAACTTTGTATGCATTTTCTCGCACTAATACAACAATCCTGCAGTGATGGGCAGTAGCGCCGCTACATGTAGCGAAGCTATTAGTTTAACTACATTTTTCAGTAGCTTGACCGTAGCGTCGCTGCTTTATTTATGAAGTAACTTTCCTGTAGCGACGTTATTGTTTTGATCAAGTAGCGACGCAGCGTCCACAAACGCTACAAAGTCCAGGGCATAACTAAGAAATGAAACCAGGTTTTCTATTCTGAAACAACAATCAGCCACAAGCTACTGTAAATAGCAGTTTCAGCTGGTGTAGTAGCACAGGCACACTCAGTAGGGTTAAACAAGCGCACCCTTTCCGAGCCTGTGATTCTATTGGCTGGAATGGTTGCTAGGCGACGATCCAACTGCAATCTGAGAGAGCAAAAAAAAAATCCGCAAGCAGAGCCTACGGGTTTGCGAGTGTATGAGACTCGTGCAGAGCGCGGATTGTGCGTGAAGAGAAGGAGGCAAGCGAGAGGAGAAAATATCTGTGCAAGAAGCATTAAATCTGAGAGAAGAAACAAAGAGAGAAGAGAAAATATTTGAGAGAGAGCCCATGTTTTGAGTGTGAGCATTATAAGTTTTGAGTGCAAGAAGATGAAATTCTTTTCTCAAATTGAAATGATGTGCTCTTGCATTATGGCAGGATAATTCTCCCATATGTGCCACTAAGATAGTCTAATTAGAGAGCAGTAGTGAAACTTCGATATTGTATTTTCATGGCCTACTTTACCTGACAGGATGTTTACATAAATCTGTTTTTAGGCTTTGCACAGATAAGATTTTTTTATTTATGGAGGAACAGCTCTACCGTATATAAAATAAATACATAAATAAATAAATGCTCAATAAATAAATAAATAAGCATTCAATTAATTGCCCCCAAAAACACAATGAATAAATATGTAGGTAGAAATAAAATTATATGGTGAGACATAAATATATCACTTAATTAGCTTCTTTATTTTTTCACCTTTTTTGTAAACAGTTTCAGTTTGTTACTTGAATCGACTGTTTAATTGAGGTCTGAAGAAGTTTTCTCTAAGGGAGACCCTAAAGAAATAAGATGCCTTTTGTAGGGTTTTGTTTTCCCTAGAGATGTCCATTGAATGCAAACTCATACCCATGTCTCGATGTGTAGAACACTACACAGTACCTTTAATTTGGTTCTAATAACATCAGATTGTTTACTAGTTTGTCTATTAGTAATTACTTCAGTTTTTATTTTAATGTGCTGATCATAAAGCAATGTTTACACTGTGATATGTTATTGGCTGATCTTTAATAAATGTTTTAACTAGTGTGTCAGACTCATTTTGAATTGATATTAGGTTGGTACAACGTTAAGTAGCTTCTGATGTAGTTAAGCTACTTTTAACACATTAGTGTAACTTAGCTTGCTATAATTCTTTAGGTGGTAGCTTTGGTGTAGTGAAGCTTAATTTATTGTTGAGTAGCTGATAGCTTAGCTCACTACAATGGACAAGTAGCTTGCCCAACACTGCAATCCTGTACATAGATGGTTGTGGTTGTAGAATGAAAAATTAAAAGAAAAAATCAGAAAGCATTAATATTTCTGCAAAGTAGGCCTACTCAAGAAACTCTTGACAAATTCTTCTTAATATTAGTATTATTTGATTTATTCCTTAATCATATTTTTAGACTAAAGTTTGTACAAACACTTACAGCTGAGTCTCCGTAATCAGTTTTTCCGGATGGTGGCTGTTGTACCTTCCAGAGGAGTTCACGCCCCTTCGCTCTGCTCTCTCGTGGTGCATTTCTGACAGGAGGGAAGGGGAGGGAGCCGTGGCTGCATGTGGGAGGAGAAGGAGGAGGGAGTGAGCAGGAGGAAGGAGAAGCCCTCTCAGTTTCTGGGAGTTCTCCTTACTGAAGGCCACAGAATGAGCGCAGTTGCTTTCCTCTCAGTCTGAGAGGCAGCTGCAGGTTCTCTTTTGCTTTGGCTCAGATTTTTCTGCCAGGCTTTAGAGGAGGACCCAGCAGATTTGCCTTCCTTTTTTTTGGAGTTTTCTTTGAACTTTTTCTCCCACCACACTGCTGTTGCCTGGGAAGTACAATGCCTGTAGTTGGAGTGGCTTCCAAGTTAAGGCAACCCTCCACAGTGGGCACCAAGTCGGTGCACACTGCCCTCCCTATCCCCAGTGCTGTCAGAGCAGCCGCCTCGCAGGGCTTCATGGCCCGGCAGCAGGAACTCAGGGCAAAAGACGGAGCCCCGGCGCTCAACTGCCAGCTTTCAGTCAGGTCGGACTACCAGCAGGAAAAGATGCCGGCAGGAAAGTCCAAAGCAGAAACCGAGGAGAGCAAGATCTGCAAGGTTAGTGAAGATGAACACTTGTTGCACATCAGTTTGATGTCAAGGCAGCGCAGGTGTCAGACTTGTAGGACAAACCGTCTGTGATCTTGTCAGGCTGTCTGCTCCCTCTGGACTGGAGCAGGTGTCTGTCCTCCTCTGAAGCAAACCTCTACACAGCAATGAGTCATTTCTGCTGTGCTGGGATGTTTGTCGTATCATCAACTAAGAGGGGAAAGTATATGACTAATGGATAACTGGCTGTGTCTGTGACTCATCTATTTGCCCATTTTGCTTTGTTTTAGGGATAGAGTGGAATTAAAAGATTTTAATATCCAGGAACCTTTTCAGATGTAGAGAACATCTCTCTCTGTTTTTTATCGAACATGCCTGTATATGTTTCAAATACAGTTCACTGCAGATCTATCATTCCTGAAGCATGTTTTGACTCCATTGAATCTGTTCTTAAAATGGCCCAAGCCTTCCCTTTTCCAGTTTTTTTCTGGTTCACTTTCTAAGGCTGCAGCAGAGGAGTGGAGGGAGGAGATTTCAAACCTCCGCGCCAAATGCTTTCATCAGCTCAGCAGCCATCCCACTTTCAGAGCTGTCAGAGCGCAAGCTGATACTTTCCTGTTTGGTTAGCTAATCTCTGCTCCTTCCTCCACCTGTCCACAGCCGTCAGCTCTTTGTGTTTATACCAAAATAAACCGGAAAGAAAAAAAACATTTTGTTTTTCAAATCTGGATTGTGTTTTGGGCATTGGAACAAAGGTGCAGATTTTTCTCCTGGCCCGAGGGAAACACAACTACGAGTCCATGCTACCGCTGTTAAATCCTCCCAGCATGTCTGTGACCGAGTCCACCTCGCCTGCAGGGTTACTGCAGCCTGAGCTTAGAGGTCATGGGAGTCCATCATTAACATGTCGCTAAACCAACAGTATGATCACGACTTTTAATTTAAAACTCAATTTTGTGAAATAAATTTAAATATTTTTGTTTTTAACTGGTCCCACTAGATGCTCCTATTTACCAGACGAAGAGTTAAAGATTGAGCAAATACTCAGAGCGCTTTAAGGCTAACAGCTAGTCATATTAGTGTGCCGATTGAAAAGAATTGTAATAACAAACATCTTTAACCAGATACTATATTAATCTGAATATTGAAAATTCAAAAGGCTGCTAAGCTTGTAAAGTCATCTCAGCCTAACAGTTTTGCGTATTAAACTAATAATAATCAGTTTAGCATTTCCTGGCATTATTGATTGATTAAGTTCTTTTTCTTTTTAGGCCCATGATTTTTTATTTATTGCACATTTTTCATTTATTGCACATTTAACTGCATAAAAATATTTGAAAAACAAAATGTGACTTATTGATTCATTGATTGAAAGAAATTGGTCTATATTTTCAAATATAGCATCAAATTCAAATCTCTCTCATCGAATTTAATGAATACAGGAAAGAACTTATGTTATGTTCTTATATACTCTATCGTTAGCCCATCATCCTCATTAACGCAGTTTTAAACAGTGTGCAAACCTATCATTTGTTTGTTTTGTTTTTTTCCCAATACCGGTACCTAATATTCCTTGCTGTTTAAATTTCCATTGAATGAGCATTGGCTTAATTACCTTTGAAATGAAATCAGTTACCGTGGGCAGGAGAAAATCTCCAACCTGCCCCAGCCTGTCAGTGTGGTTAAGGAATGGGTGGTATGGAGGAGTAATTAGTCTGTCTAATTGTGTTCTGTATCCTTTAAGAACCTATGAACTCTCCTGTCTTTCAGAGGATGGACTGAATGTATTTCATCACTTGTTGAAATTCACCAACCCTCCTTGTTTGGTTTAAATATCACTCAGGATCAAGTGTAGGACTGTCTTTGTGTGTGTGTGTGTGTATAGGGGTGCAAAATCTGAGTCCCTGCTTGTTTGTTCACATGCAACCCCCACCTCTGCATATACAATAGTGCCAGCAAGTGGTGGCTTGTTTGCCAAAGGTTCAGTTCATCCTTACTTTAGTCGTATTTTCCAGGGTTGAAGCTCCCCACCAACATTTCTGAATGCTGCGCTGGAAATTTCCACCTTTTTGCTGAGTAAATATGGGATTTGACCCGTAGCAGAGACGTGCCTTAGAATGACTTAAGACTAGAGTTCTTTAATCGGTTTTATTATAACCGGGGATAAACGATTCACCAGCAGAGTCACGTGGCAACACATGCAACTCTGAAGCAGGATGACAAAATATGACTGCTGAAATTTTTAAACTTTCCCTGGAGAAGAACAGTTTATTTTTGTATGTGTAAAGACGAAAGTTGTAGGGAATCTTTTCAGGGGAGTGGCGGCCTAACGGTAAGGGCATAGAGCTTGGAATCCTCAGGTTCTTAGTTTGAGGCCCACTCCCACAGACTGCCACTCTGGATCCCTGAGCAAGACCCTTAACCCCACTCTCCTCCCTGGGCACCACATGATGGCAACCCAAGGGGATGGGTTAAATGCAGAGAGTGATTTTCATTGCTCTGTACTTGTGACAGTGTAATGACAATAAAAGCTGGAGGAAAAGTCTTTTGAACAGTGTTTAATAGCGACTTGCAACCACAAGGAGACTTGGAGAAATATCTGACAATGTCTAATGTCACAGTTCATTGTTAATGACATAAACAATGAACAGAACCGCCCTTGTCATCTTAAATAGTAATACCTCCTCAACGACCGACCCTTAACAATCATAGACAGGTTTCAGGTATTACAGGAGACAATCCCCCCTTTAACGACCGACCTTCAGAATCATAGACAGGTTTCAGATATTACGGGCTAACAATGGAACCAAACGACCCACTAATCGGTTCCCATTTGCATGTTTCCAAGCAATGCCAAGCCTTGTCTATATATAGACTCAAACTCACTGCGAATCCAGACATTTGAAAGCTTCCTGGAGGTGGTGAAATGTCTTCAAATCTTGGAAACCAAGTCCAGTGGATTTTTTTGAACTTTTACAGAAAAAATAGTAATTTTGTATGCAAAATTTGACTGATAAATGATCTGAGAACACAGAAATTAGTAAGGTGAGCTAGCATCAAGGATGCTACATACCCTAAGAGAACCAGTTGTTATCAAGGTTGAAAGAATAAGAAAATTGTTGCAGTTTTTGCATTGCTTTTAGATTCCAGGTAAGTATTGATCATAATTAAGCCACTAAACAAGCCTTCCGTGTCTTTGATGGTACTGTGCAACAGCTTCTTTCATCAAAGGCTTACAGTACTCTTAATCTCCTCATGATTTAAAACTGTCAAATTTTCTCGTTTGCTATCCTTGATGCAAATGAGGAAAAAGGTGAGACATTGGATTCCTGCTGTTGTTGCTTACGCTGACAATTCACATCATTCACTGCTAGTGGCACAGAAGGATAACAGGCAATGAAGAAGCTTTCATGGGTCTAGACACTTTGATGGTATTGGATTGTATATCATGAGTTTTGAGGTTTTCTCCAAATTAAGGTCTCTTATCAAATATTTGATGTGTAGATTAACTAAATGAAGTTATTTGGAAGTCATATTTTAACTTTTCTCATTCACAACCCATTATATTTGTTTACTTTTACTTCAAATAGTCAGCTTTCTGCTGTTAATCCATTTTCTTCCCCAAGTGAACAAAATTATACTCCATAGGGTAAACATGGCCCTTATCTAAAAGCATTTTCAAGCAAGTCATGACTGTTGTAGCGGCTACTTTTGTGGCTCTTTGATGTTTAAGAAATGTTTTCCTGCAAAGGACGCAAGTATTCACCAAAGAGGGAGACGGGTGCCAGACACACTCGCTCACTTGATGAACAAAAAACATCCTGTTGATCCTGTGTGTACAGGTGCTGGTCATAAAATTAGAATATCATGAAAAAGTAGATTGATTTCAGTAATTCCATTTAAAAAGTGAAACTTGTATATTATATTCATACATTACATACAAACTCATATATTTCAGATGTTTATTTTGTTTAATTTTGATGATTACAAATGACAACAAATGAAAATCTCAAATTCATCATATCAGAAAATTAGAATATTGTGAAAAGGTTCAAAATTGATGGCCCCTGGTGCCACACTCTAATCAGCTAATTAACTCAAACCACCTGCAAAAGCCTTTAAATGGTCTTTCAGTCTAGTTCTATAGGCTACACAATCATGGGGAAGACTGCTGACTTGACAGTTGTCCAAAAGACGACCATCGACACCTTGCACAAGGAGGGCAAGACACAAAAGGTCATCGCTAAAGAGGCTGGCTGTTCACAGAGCTCAGTGTCCAAGCACATTAATAGAGAGGCGAAGGGAAGGAAAAGATGTGGTCGAAAAAAGTGTACAAGCAAGAGAGATAACCGCACCCTGGAGAGGATTGTGAAACAAAACCCCTTCAAAAATGTGGTGGAGATTCACAAAGAGTGGACTGCAGCTGGAGTGAGTGCTTCAAGAACCACCACACACAGACGTATGAAAGACATGGGTTTCTGCTGTCGCATTCCTTGTGTCAAGCCACTCTTGAACCACAGACAGCGTCAGAAGCCTCTTGCCTGGGCTAAAGAGAAACAGGACTGGACTGCTGGTGAGTGGTCCAAAGTCATGTTCTCTGATGAAAGTAAATTTTGCATTTCCTTTGGAAATCAAGGTCCCAGAGTCTGGAGGAAAAGAAGAGAGGCACTTCATCCATGTTGCTTGAAGTCCAGTGTAAAGTTTCCACAGTCAGTGATGGTTTGGGGTGCCATGTCATCTGCTGGTGTTGGTCCATTGTGTTTTCTGAGGTCCAGGGTCAACGCAGCCACATACCAGGAAGTTTTAGAGCACTTCATGCTTCCTGCAGCTGACCAACTTTTTGGAGATGCAGATTTCATTTTCCAACAGGACTTGGCACCTGCACACAGTGCCAAAGCTACCAGTACCTGGTTGAAGGACCATGGTATCCCTGTTCTTAATTGGCCAGCAAACTCTCCTGACCTTAACCCCATAGAAAATCTATGGGGTATTGTGAAGAAGAAGATGCAATACACCAGACCCAACAATTCAGAAGAGCTAAAAGCCACTATTAGAGCAACCTGGGCTATCATAACACCTGAGCAGTGCCACAGACTGATCGACTCCATGCCACG